AGAGGCCAATAATTCCTTCGAAGAGCTTCCTTGTTCTTGAGCCTTCAAGTCAATTGAGATTTGAACGGCTCTTTCAAAGTATTCAGCAACTCTGGCGAATTCAGAGGCACCAAAGCCTCTAGTGGTCATAGCTGGGGTACCAACTCTTAAACCGGATGGGAATAAAGCGGACTTGTCACCTGGAACAGTGTTCTTGTTGGCAGCAATGTTAGCTCTTTCTAAGACGGCTTCAACTCTGGCACCATCAATGTTCTTAGATCTCAAGTCGACTAAGATTAAGTGGGTATCAGTACCACCGGAAACTAAAGTGAAACCCTTGGATTGCAATTCGCTAGCGAAGCTGGCTGCATTGGCAACGACATCCTTTTGGTATTCCTTGAATTCTGGGTAAGAAGTTTGTTTCAAAGCAACGGCTAAGGCTGAGATGGTATGATTGTGTGGGCCACCTTGGTGAGCTGGGAAAACAGAGAAGTTAATCTTCTTGTCTAAGTCGTAGAGAATTTCCTTACCCTTCTTGGTGACCTTTCTAACACCCTTTCTGTAGAAAATCATGGCACCTCTTGGACCTCTTAAGGACTTGTGGGTGGTGGTGGTAACAATGTCGGAGAATGGGAATGGTGAATCGGTGACACCAGCAGAAACCAAACCGGAAATGTGGGCCATATCACTCAATAAGTAGGCACCAACCTTGTCGGCAATCTGTTTCATTCTCTTGTAGTCAATGACTCTAGAGTATGCAGAAGTACCAGCAACAATAACCTTTGGTCTGAATAACATGGCATTGGCTTCTAAGGTGTCATAGTCAATTAAGCCAGTTTCTTCGTTTAATCTGTATGGCATGGTTTGGAAATACTTCGAGATGTATGAAATTTTGGTGGTAGGAGTTTGGTAACCGTGGGATAAATGTCCTCCATGAGGTAAGTCCAAACCCATGATTCTGTCACCCACTTCCAAAACAGCAGAGTAAGCGTACAAGTTAGCTGGAGCACCGGACAATGGCTGCACGTTGACACCCCATTCTTCTGGGTTCAAGTTAAATGCTTCTAATGCTCTCTTTTGACACAACGACTCAGCTTTATCTATGATTTCATTACCACCGTAGTATCTTTCACCAGGGTAACCTTCGGAGTACTTGTTTTGCATCTCCGATCCCAACAAGTCCATAACGGCCTTGGAAGTGAAATTTTCCGATGGAATCAAAGTAATCGAACTTTTTTGTCTGCTTCTTTCTTGTTGTAAAATTTCGGCCATTTCTGGGTCGACGTCCTTGACAGCTTTTGAGATCAATGATTGTGCATTAGTAGACAATGCATAGCATCTGGAAAAGGAACCAGGCAATCTCTTAGACGACGTTCTCAATGTACGCAAGGTTGTTGGAATCATTATAGCTGTTATTGCGTTGATCAATTAATGTATTGCACCCCAAAATCCAGACCAGCTCCGAACTTATATAGATGAGTCGACAGAAGGGTGAGTGAAAATTCGGAGTCATGTCTCGTGATCATTCTGACTCCATGTATTTTCGGAGTCAATATATGCTTGATCCCGAGTCGCATGTTTCGAGCGTCTAAACACCCTCAGCTAGTATAGTATGATCAAGGCCACAGTTTGAATCATCACAAACAGCTAGTTTATTGAACCATGCATCTTCGAAACAATCACTAATACTTACACGCTCCAGCGGATTCGCCTCAAGAATTCTGCTCACCAAATCGTGAGACTCTGGCGGTAAGTAGTGAGAAATAGTTGCAAACCCCAGCTCGGTAACATTTTTGGTACCATCGTGATTACAATAGGCCACGAATTTGCGATCAGATAACCTTGCAGACTTCCATGGTAATTTTGCGTTGAGCATGTAAAATAGGATGATCCCCACCGACCATATATCGGCTTTCTTTCCGTCATAGCGAAACTGCTGCACGGTCTCGGGTGCCATGTAGCTATTAGACCCCACAAGACCGATGGCTTCATATTCCCGGTCGCCGTACGCGCCTGTGTCCGGATCCCTGGAAAACTCGAACGCAGCAGCTAGATCGATCATCTTCAACATACCTGTGTGCGGATCAAGCACCAAATTATTGAGCTTCAAGTCACGATGGCATATCTTAGCTGTATTGTGCAAATAATCGATTCCGTAGCATAATTGTTTCCACAAACATAACATTTCCTTCGTATTTCTCGCCTCCGGTTTCTTGTCTTTGAGTATCTTATACAAGTCAGCGGTACCTGCTTCCATGTATATTCTCACAGTCGCCCCAAACCACGACACCTCTTCCTTATACACCTCAATAACGTGCTCATTTTGCAATCCTCGAAGAATATTGTACTCATGTAGTACTCGTTTCTGGTATTCTGCCTTCGTCTCATATTTCTCTCGACAATGGTACGTTTTCACTACATATCTATCCGGCGTCAGTCTTGACTGGTAAAGATCGATATATCCGGAAACGCCTTCACCTATCTTTTCGACTTTCTCATCACGCCATGAAATTTTAACTCGACTCTTATCTGTGGTCGTTTCTCCATGCTTCCGACGGTCCAAATCCTCCATATACGGTGTTTAGCTGCTAATGCTGGCCGAATAGCCTCTAAGCAAGCCATCTTAAGCATTTTTGTGATATAGAGGTCACAAGATTGGCTTATGTAATCATTGTACCATTAAAAGGCAATAATAGGGATAACCCTTATCATTTGAATGGTCTTTTTATCAAACATACTACGTTGATATTGATAATACTTGATCAGACACTATGAGATTATCAGTTTCAATTGCCACAGTAACATCAATTGCATCAGTGATTGGTGGTGCTGAAAGTTTAAGAGTTCCTACATTCCAACCGTACGTTGATAACGTTCAACAGCATCTTAATCTTAATTTTGACAAGGTTCAATCGCAATACAGCAATTTCGTCGATAATTTAGATATTGGTAAGAGCAATGTCATTGAGTCGATTGCTAAGTACTTGAATGAGCCATTATCGGAAATTCCTAAGAATACCAAGCAAATATGGCTGGAAATGATGCTTCAATTTCCAGACACCGTTGGCAAGATGAACTTTAAGACCAATCCAAAGACTATTACTCCCAAGTCGTCGGATATGTTTGACTTCCATGTTGAGGATGCTAAGATTCCAAACCACAAATTGAGAGTTAAGTCGACTCCAAAGGATTTGGGAATTGATGACGTCAAGCAATATACTGGTTATTTGGATGTTAAGGACGAAGACAAGCACTTTTTCTACTGGTTTTTCGAATCGAGAAATGACCCTAAGAATGACCCGGTTATTCTTTGGTTGAACGGTGGTCCAGGTTGTTCTTCGTTGACAGGTTTGTTTTTTGAATTAGGCCCATCGTCCATTGGTGCCGACTTAAAGCCTATTCGTAACCCTCATAGTTGGAACAATAACGCATCGATTATCTTTTTGGACCAGCCGGTTAATGTTGGATTTTCTTACTCGTCTAGCTCTATCACTAACACCATTGCTGCCGGAAAGGATGTTTATGCATTCTTAGAATTGTTCTTCAAGCAATTCCCCGAATACAAGAAACCAGATTTCCACATTGCTGGTGAATCATATGCTGGTCACTATATTCCAGTTTTTGCTACTGAAATTTTATCTCATGAAGAGCGTTCATTCAATTTGAGTTCGGTTTTAATTGGTAACGGTTTGACTGATCCTTTGACCCAATACGAATACTACGAGCCAATGGCTTGTGGTAAGGGTGGTGAGCCATCTGTTTTGGAACCAGGTGAATGTCAATCTATGACTGATTCCATTCCAAGATGTTTATCTTTAATTGAATCCTGTTATGACTCCGGATCCATCTGGTCGTGTGTTCCAGCTACCATCTATTGTAACAACGGTCAAATGGGACCATACCAAAAGTCAGGCAGGAATGTGTACGATATCCGTACCATGTGTGACGGTTCTAGCTTGTGCTACTCCGACTTGGAATACATTGATCAATACTTGAACCAAGATGAAGTTAAGTCCAAGTTAGGTGTCGAAGTCGACGCATACGAATCTTGTAATTTTGATATCAACAGAAACTTTATGCTTGCTGGTGACTGGATGAAGCCTTACCACAAGGCAGTCGTCGACTTGTTAGAACAAGAGTTACCTATCTTAATCTATGCTGGTGATAAGGATTTCATCTGTAACTGGTTAGGTAACCAAGCCTGGACTGATAAATTACCATGGTCTGGTCAAGAAAAGTTTGCTGATCAACCTATTAGAGAATGGAAGGTCGGTAAGGAAACTGCCGGTGAAGTTAAAAACTACAAGCACTTCACGTTTTTGAGAATTTTCGGTGGTGGTCATATGGTTCCTTACGACCAACCTGAAAATGCTTTAGATATGGTAAACAGATGGGTTAAGGGTGACTACAAGTACTAATCTATGAATAAAAGCATCACGATACCCGAATCCATGTGATTTATCCGATGTTAATTTGCTAGAATTAGAGTGCATCGTATTCTTAACAATTATTTTTTGTACGTTTTTGAAATCAGTTTGATTGTTTTAAATGGTTTCGTTTAAATAGTTTATGTCAACATATATGTATTGCTATTCACTATTACTGTAGCCTACTCAACACGAATGAATTCCCTCACGGAATATTCTGATCATAATGCCCATTGTCGCTAAATCTTAATTGAGACGATCCACGATACAAAAATTTCGCAACATGTTCTTAAATAGGAAATTTGTAAACATTAAAGTATCAATAATATTAACTAATTGGTTAAGACTATATACATCAAAAATAAAAGGCTTCCAGTACATAAACCATTCATCGATAATTATGTTTATATAAAACAATATACAGGCCGCCTGACAATATTAAGTTAACAAGGACAATAATTAGTGGAACAACATTATCGTCTATTCATTATAAAGATTTTTTCAATTCATAAATACCCATCCAACCAACTACACTCACAATTGATTTTGTTCTGAAAACAAGAGGTAGATAACACTCAATCATAATTTCATAAAATGGTGGATTGCATGCTAATAGCGATTCCGGTTGATCTACTAGTGATGTTGTTGAGTATAACAACTTCATCACTTGGAGTAGCCATTCTAACAAGCCAGAACATGGCTATTGCATTGCTTTTGTTTATAATCGGAGGTTTTATAAGTGGTGGTTTATTGGTTATTCAGATGTTGTTCAGGCTGAACTTAACCCCTATATTTTTCATCTTTCAATTAGTGGCCTACATTTTTCAGATTGTCACAGGTATCATATTCTGCATTAACATTATTCATAATCATTTTGATTTTTCAAAAGGATTCAGCGGCTGGGAGGTAGCAGTGCCGACATTATTTATTATAGATGTATTTTTCATGGCGATTTCCATAACTTTACTTTTCGTTGTATTTTTACAAAGTGGTCCTGATGAAATTGAAGACGTCGACTTGGAGAAAGATACGGTTTCTCTGTGTGATACTTCTTGTGATTCCCCAACCAATGGAAAATATCCTATTCAAAAAGATAACTCGTCGCAAAATTTAAATGTCACGCAATATCAACAAGTATCGAAAAAGATCTCGGATCAAACTTTGGTTGAAGGGCCAATGTATGATACTGTGGTTAAGAATACAATAAATAAGACTAAATCCAATGCCGACAATGACGTAGCATATATCATGAACTACACTCCAACTGGCGAGGCATCAGATTATCTGTACTATACGAACAAGAATTGGATGGATTCCAATGCAAACTTACATTCAATAAAGCTTTCAACCGATTTAACTCATATTCCCACCCCTGAAACACCGACAAAATCATTTTCCAAAAAAACAAATTTTGGCTTATTCAGGATGAATACAAGGGCAGTGGATTCAAGTAACAAACTTGCGAACGAGAATCCAAAGACTCCCGATTTGAAACAGTCAAGGAGCGTTCCAAACTTTATAAAGACGACCAACCTTGATAATAATATAAACATCAATAATAAGAAATCTAGATTTGAAGCTATTCCAGATTTGAACCATTCTGATATAAATAAATTGAATCAGAACTGTGCTCACGCCATAGTCCCAGTTAATTACGCCTATGACCAAAGTGCTGGTATTAACACTTATGAATCGAGTACTAACAAGTACAGGCGGGTTTCGTTGATAGAGTCCAACTGTAATGATATTCCCCAAGCGGAACATAATATTAAGGTTGATGGTAATAAAAATCTCGTAAAGAGATCTAAATCAGCTAGCTATATCGGCGGTGATAAGTCTAGGAAGTCAAATGTGGAACAAAGACGAAAGTCAATACATGATGAAAAAATATTTCTTCGAAATGTTAATGAATCCTTGTTACCAGCAGTTTTAAGAAGTGGTGAAAGTCCTATTATGGAATTAAGAAGACAACAAGAAATACTGGGTAAACAGACTGAAGAACAGATTAAGAGTCCTCTTAGTCAAAAAGGTAGCCCTAAACATTCCTCCAACTTACAAAGAGATATTGGATCAGATTTGAGTCCTGTGGGTGAGGCTGATCTGAGTGAGGCTGAAAAATCCAACATTGGAGAAATGACAGAAGCTGATGATAGTTCAGGTTATTTGAACTTACCTTTCATATCTGAATTTGATGAGCCTATAGACCAGGATAAATTTAAGGGTTTCGACCAAGATACAGCAATTGTTGAAGAAGAACCTTCTGAAATCTTCAAAAAGACTCCGAAGAAAAAGGGTACCTATCAATTTAACGATATTAATTTTGAAAAGCAAACCTTTGCTCAATCGGGTCAACAAAAAGTAGAAGAACAGTTACCTGAAGATTACTATAAAGCCCTTAATGGTCTAGAGAAAATTCCAAAATCTAGTTCAACTTCGAATATTATGTGGAAGCAGGAGGGAAAAGAAAACGGGGCTTCAAGTTCTATGAACCATATTTCCTTGAAGGATTGGGATAGTAATTCAATAAAATGGAATGAACATAGAACTAGATCTGGTGCAAACTTGAATATTGCTGGTATCACAAGGTTAGTAAGTGATCACCATTTGAAATCTATGAGCACCGACAGTAATTCAGTAATACCTACTGATATGGATTTATTACCACCCTTAAAATATCGCCTAGATAATATCGACAACTTGAGTGAGCTACATAGTGCTACAGGTAGCGCTAAAGAAGTAGAGCATAACCATTCATTTACTTCTTTGAATAGGTCTTCGAGTGCTCCGTCATTACACACATATAGAGAGCCATATCCCGGATTAGACTGTGGGTATAGTGATTCACAAGAATCAAAGAGTTTGTCCATCAAATCTCTGGAAAACACATTACGTCACATTAACACACCCCCAGAACCTAACATTGCTTCAACTGCAAGCTCTTCTCCAATTAAGAAGTTTTTTCAAGAGAGTCCGAAACGTCTAAATGTCATTTTTAAACGAAAGCCAAACACTAGGTATAGTGTCGACTTGAGTTCATTGAAAGATCCCAATATTAATTCCTACCACAAGCATACAAGTTCTGTGGTGTCGAACCAGTTTTCCATGTACTCCAGTAAATCGTCCAAATCGAGTTCCCCCAAAAAATCCTTCAAGGCCTTCCTTAGATCGCCTAGCAAGTTTCAGACACCAAGCCCCATAGAACCTTCTCTTGCAGAATCTTCAAAAGTGGCATCCCAAAATAATTTGTTTAACACTAATGATGATGGATGTCTGATATATGCTAATGAAAACGCATTGAGTTTCTGGGATTTGGATACTGCCCATAGTTCAGATCGATCTAGAGTTAGTTCTGTTCCAAGTGCCGTAATAGGGGAGTACGACAGAGAAAAATGGAGAACTTTAAAAGCATTGCAAAACCAAGAAAGAGTTGAAACTTAACTATATATATCTAGATATTTCTAAACTTTATAGACATAAATTGCATTAATCTAAGTTACTAAATTTGTATTCGATGAGTTCAATTTTTTTTTTTTTTTTGAGAATCGCAGGTATAATATTATTTTGAAAAATATATGAATTATAACTATTCTCTTAGTACTATTCACATATAATCAGTATGGATGGTGAAGACTTGTTTGACGTCTTTGACGAAGCACCAGCCAATGCTCCACCAGTGATACAGACGGAACCAAACTCAAAGAAGGAAACTTCGAAAAAACGTCAAGCTTCTAAAGAGCCTGAAGAGAATGGCGAAGAAAAACAAGTTAAGAAAGAAAAGAAAGCTGATAAGAAAAAGGATGAAAAAACTAAAGCTAAGCAAGATATCACACCTGTTGTTTTCGATGCTGTCGAAATTGAGGCTTCAAGAGAAGTTGCTGTATCTGATGGATTAATGGGAAAAACATCAGATGCAAAGCCAGGACAATTACAGTTGAGACATCAAGTTAGACATCAAGTTGCTATTCCACCAGAATATCCATATGTTCCTATTGGTGAACATAAAAGACAAAACGAAGCAAGAACTTATCCGTTCGTTTTGGATCCTTTCCAAGATACGGCCATTTCATGTATTGATAGAAGCGAGTCAGTATTGGTCTCAGCGCATACGTCTGCTGGTAAAACAGTAGTTGCAGAATACGCTATAGCCCAATCATTAAGAGAAAAACAAAGAGTCATTTATACCTCTCCAATTAAGGCATTAAGTAACCAGAAGTATAGAGAACTATTGGCAGAATTCGGTGACGTGGGTTTAATGACTGGGGATGTTACTATTAATCCTGATGCTGGTTGTTTAGTTATGACTACTGAAATTTTACGTAGTATGTTGTATAGAGGTTCAGAGGTTATGAGAGAAGTTGCCTGGGTGGTTTTTGATGAAGTTCATTATATGAGAGATAAGGCTCGTGGTGTTGTTTGGGAAGAAACAATTATCTTATTGCCAGATAAGGTTCATTATGTTTTTCTTTCGGCCACTATTCCAAATGCTATGGAATTTGCAGAATGGATTGTCAAAATTCATGCACAACCATGTCATGTTGTTTATACAGATTTCCGTCCAACGCCATTGCAGCATTATTTGTTCCCTGCGGCAGGAGATGGTATCCATTTAGTTGTTGATGAAAAAGGAACTTTCAGAGAAGAAAATTTCCAAAAAGCTATGGCGTCCATCAGTGACAATGTTGGTGATGATCCATCATCTGCTGATAAATCTAAAGGTAAAAAGGGACAAACCTATAAAGGGGGTAACAAGGATGGTAAGTCAGATATTTACAAGATTGTTAAAATGATCTATATGAAAAGATATAACCCAGTTATTGTTTTCTCTTTCTCTAAGAGAGATTGTGAATCTTTGGCTTTGAAAATGTCAAAATTAGATTTCAATACAGATGATGAAAGAGAAGCTTTAACAAAAATCTTCAATAATGCGATTGAATTGTTACCTGATGCTGATAAGGAGCTTCCTCAAATCAAGAATATCTTGCCTTTATTAAGACGTGGTATTGGTATTCATCATTCTGGATTATTACCAATCTTAAAAGAAATTATTGAAATTTTGTTCCAAGAAGGGCTTTTAAAGGTTTTATTTGCTACCGAAACTTTCTCCATTGGTCTTAATATGCCTGCTAAAACAGTTGTTTTCACATCTGTCCGTAAATGGGATGGTAAAGGTTTCCGTTGGGTTTCTGGAGGTGAATACATTCAGATGTCTGGTAGAGCAGGTCGTCGTGGTCTAGATGATCGTGGTATTGTTATTATGATGATTGATGAAAAAATGGAGCCACAAGTTGCAAAGGGAATGGTAAAGGGTCAGGCAGATAGATTGGATTCAGCCTTCCATTTAGGATATAATATGATTTTGAATTTGATGAGAGTTGAAGGTATTTCTCCAGAATTCATGTTGGAAAGTTCATTTTATCAATTTCAAAATGCAGCATCCGTTCCTGTATTAGAAAAAAACTTACAGGAATTGACTTTGAAAGCTAACAGTATTCAAATTGATGATGAAGCAACCGTCAGAGAATATTATGATTTGAAGAAGCAGTTTGATATATATCAGGATGATGTTCGCCAGGTTGTTACTCACCCGGGTCACATTTTACCTTTCTTACAACCAGGAAGGGTTATAAAGGTTAAGGTTGGTGGCATGGATTATGGTTGGGGTATGGTCACATCTTTCACAAAAAGAACGAACAAGAGAAACCCATCCCAAACTTACAGCGATCACGAAGCATATATAGTGAACGTTTTTGTTTACACGATGTTTGTTGATTCTCCAGTCAATTTAATTAAGTCATTTAATCCAGATCTTCCAATCGGTATTAGACCCGCTAACGCTGGTGAAAAATCTAGAGCAGAATACATTCCAATAACTTTGGATTCAATTGAAAAGATCAGTAGTGTTAGATTAAGAGTTCCAGACGAATTCAAAAGTTCAAGCGCTAAAAAGAATTTATTAAAGACTATGAAGGATTTACCAAAGAGACTTCCAGATGGTATTCCATTAATGGATCCAATTGAAAGTATGAAAATCGAAGATAATGACTTTAAATTATTGTTAAGAAAGATCGATGTTTTGGAATCCAAGATGTTAAGTAACCCTCTTCATGAGTCCGTGAGATTGAAAGATTTATATGAGAAATATAGTGAAAAGGTTGAAATTGAAAATAAAATAAAGTCTCTTAAAGATAAAATATTGGAAGCTCAAGCAGTAATTCAATTGGACGATTTGAGGCATAGAAAGAGAGTCCTTAGAAGATTGGGATTCACTACACAAAATGATATCATAGAATTAAAAGGTAGAGTTGCTTGTGAAATCAGTACTGGAGATGAATTATTATTGACCGAATTGATCTTTAATGGTACATTCAATGACTTGACTTGCGAACAATGTGCATCGTTATTATCATGCTTTGTCTTCCAAGAAAAGGCGAAGGAAGTTCCTAGATTGAAGCCTGAATTGGCTGAGCCATTGAAATCAATGCAGGATATGGCTAGTAAAATCGCCAAAGTTTTCAAAGAATGTAAGATAGAACTCGTTGAAAAGGAATACGTTGAATCATTCAGACCCGAATTAATGGAAGTTACATATGCGTGGTGCAAAGGTGCATCTTTTACACAAATTTGTAAGATGACTGATGTCTATGAAGGTTCTTTAATTAGAATGTTTAAGAGATTGGAGGAAATGTTGAGACAAATGGTAACTGCAGCTAAAACGATTGGTAACGCCGAATTAGAGGAAAAAATGGAAAAATCAATGGAATTAGTTCACAGAGATATTGTTTCAGCTGGTTCGTTATATCTTTAGTTATTCACTGATGTATATTTTATGTATTATAGTAATATTGATGAAAATTTAAGTCACTTGGTAGGGAGCACTGCGCAAAAGTTCTATGTAGGTGTAATTTTTTCTATCTCTTATCATTTGCCTCCTCTAAAAGCAACTAATTAACTTCCAGCTTATTGGTTTATATTGTATTAATTGTTAGGTTGAGTAACATGCCAGTTGATAAGCAAGCGGCAAGGAAAAAAAGTATATCAAGCAATGAAGTTGAATTGCTTTATACTAAATCTAAAGCGTACCTTCACCCCACAACTTCTAAAAAGGATAATATACCTGGGTACTTGTCATTAAGTAGAAGTGCTAATGCAGCTAATAGAGATATTACAATCTCATTTATGTCGGAGAAGCAATTATCAAACGAAGAATTGAAAGCATATGAAAATGTTGATATTGCTGATTTGCAAGATGATTTGGAGGCATTGAAACTTGGTGGTACAAATAGTAGATCATCCGGTAAAACAACTTTGAATATTGTTTCGAAACCGCCAACTTCAAGTGCTTTTGGGTTTTGTTTCAGTATTCCGATATCATTTGTTTATTCTATTCAGGTTCGGAAACCATCAGTAGGATGGTGGTTCGGATCAATAATAATTAACACCCAGGATGGAGAAAAGTTACCCATTGTGTTTTTCCATGATGATGAATCTCCATCTACTTTGAAGAACCAAAAGGTTAGAAATCAAAGATTTGATCCTTTCGGTGATAATGGTGAAATGTATTGGGGAGGACTGGATTTTATGAATGCATTAGGAAAGTTTGCAGACGTCCAAAAGTCAAGTATAGAACCATCTGTGTACTTGATTAACCCTGAATCTGATGATTTAAGAAACTTTGCTCCATTTAAGGAATCCAAAACAGCTAAAACGCAAAGTAACTCTGATCCATTTAAATTACCTGATGTCAACAAGTTTTTTGCAAATGCCAAATGGAAGGTTTTGGAGACCGTTGCTACCTTCTCAGCAAAAACTCGAAATCAGGTCCTTGATCTTGTTGATGAAAATGCTCCCATGCCAATTAAGCTGATTATCAATAAGCCTGAAGTGCAAAAAATTGGAAACGAATTTGATAGCGCTAGAGTTTATTTAGCAAAATGGGCTGCTCAAGTTAAAGAAGAAGCAGAAGAGGCACACAGGAAATATCAGTTGGGTGACGAAATCTATAACAAAATTAATAAAGAGTTGGGTGTGGGATCAAACACAGAAATCTTGACCGACGAAGAAGTGAGTAAGACATCTAGAAGAAAGCCTATTAGCAAAGTTGAATGGGAAGGTTTGTTTGATTATTCGGGCAGATTAATTATTTCCATAGACGAAATTAAAGATAGAATCTTTCATGGAGGATTAGATGATTGCATAAGAGGGGAGGCATGGTTATTTTTACTTAACGTTTACCCATGGAATTCTTCATCTGAGGAAAGAGAAACCTTACGCAATAGCTTTCAAACAGCTTACGAAGAAATAAAGTTAAAATGGGTTAATGATGACAATAAAAGAAGCGTAGACTTTTGGAAAGATCAGAAACACAGGATTGAAAAAGACATTAACCGTACTGACCGTAACTTGTCAATTTTCCAAAACAAAAAGAAGATTTCTATTTCCGGCATGGGAAGTGATCAATTGCCAACAACAAGAGAATCGTCGCCAGAAACTCCGGATGAAGCCGATGATGACGAATTCGATGTTTCGAATATCACAAATCCCCACTTGTTTAAAATGAGAGAAATCTTGTTGACTTACAATGAACATAATGTTAATTTGGGATATGTTCAGGGAATGACAGATTTATTATCTCCACTATATGTTACATTTCAAGACGAATCCTTAACTTTCTGGGCATTTGTGAACTTTATGGATCGTATGGAAAGAAACTTTCTTCGTGATCAATCGGGAATGAAAAACCAAATGCTAACTTTGAATGAATTAGTTCAATTCATGTTACCAGATTTGTTTAAGCACTTGGATAAGTGTGAATCTACAGATCTATATTTCTTCTTCCGCATGCTATTAGTCTGGTTCAAACGCGAATTCGAGTGGTCCAATGTGCTCTCTCTTTGGGAAATCTTATGGACTGATTATTACTCCAGTCAATTCCACCTATTCTTCGCTTTGGCAGTATTAAGCGATAATGAGCGAATTATAAGACAAAATTTAAGCAGGTTCGACGAGGTCCTCAAGTACATGAACGACCTTTCGATGAATATGAACTTGAACCATTTGTTAATACGTGCAGAATTGCTATTCTTGAGGTTCAGAAGAATGATCGATATAATTGACAGGGAAAATTCCTTGAAAAAGTTGAATAACCCTGAAATATATGATGATGCTGATAACTCATTAATCAAAATTAGCCCTGCATTAAGAGAATTATTATCCAAGAAACCTGTGATACAGAAAGAAACTGAAAGACCTGAAGGTGTAGGTGGTGGTTAAAGCTAACAAATCATTTTTATTATTATTCTTTTCTTTAGTTAATAACGTCCGTTAAAACTTTAATCTACTATTGACATGCTATTGTTTTATTTTGATTTATATAGCATTGGACTTATTTATGTCAAATTTCATGAAGTACACGTGCAGTATTATCTCATCGCTCAATACGCCATTTGCGATAACTATTAGTGTATATATATATTTCGCTTAATTCCACTATTACATGCGCATATATTATACTAGTATTTGTGGATGGTTCTTACAAACTCATACGAGTTATCATGAGTGTTAAGAAACCATTGAATGAAGAACTGTATCAGGTTTATGGGGAAGAGGATGATGATTACTTCTATGAAGAAGAGTATGTAATTAGCAAATCCGCAAAAGTAACGCTATTCGGATCATTTATCTGTATTTGTGTTGGGTGCATTTGGTTTTTCGCTATCTTTTTACCGGACTATTTTATACCTGAGGCTAGAGATTTGGAAGGTATAACCAAGGTTACAGACTTGAAAGTTACGTTGAAACCATTAAACGAGGGTAGGATCAAGCTGTTGGGATTATGGGACGAATCGAGTGATGCCCATGTAGGCCATGACGGTGAGAAATTAGATAATGACAGTGAAAGCGATGACGAAATTGGAATCGAAGAAAGTGACAGCGAAATGCAAGATGATGTGGAACTCGACCTGAAGAGAACCGTCGAGAGACTTATACTTATCGGTGATGTGCACGGGCATTATACAAAGCTTCGTAAATTACTTCGAAAGCTTAACTTCAATCGCCGCACTGACCATGTACTCATGTTGGGAGATTTCATTGCCAAAGGTCCCGATTCTATCAAGGTTTTAGAATTTGCAATCGATAATAAGATTGATTGCATATTCGGAAACCATGAATTGTACGTGCTACAAAACTATGCTCAGTTTCACCAACTAGATGCGCCTCGATTTGTCAATGAGAAATCAGATATCGGTGTCGAAAGCCTGTTTAATGAAGATCCCGAGTATTTATTGGCGAAGAAATTGCAGCCGCACCACGTTGATTACATTAATAGTTGCCTGGTAATCAAAAAACTAGGCAAAGTTCCGTTGCATAAGCGAAATGAAGATGGAAGTCTGAAATATTCTAATGGAGTTGCTGTACATGGTGGACTCCGTTGGGATTTGCCCTTCGAAGAACAGGATTCAGAGAAATGTTTGGAAATGAGGTCTTATATCGGTCCCGACTTTAACGAGTCAACAGACGATCCATTCAAAGAAAATGCCGTTTCGTGGTCTAAAATATGGAACGAGAAACAAAAGGAATTGTCCAAGGAAGATGCCTATGTTGTTTATTATGGTCACGACGCTAGAAGAGGCCTCAAATTAAAGAAATACTCTAAAGGGCTCGACACCGGATGTTACAAAGGTGGCCGATTAACGGCGATGGTCCTTTGGAACGAAAAGTTTCTAACCTCCAAGGGTAAAACAAATATTTTGCATAAAGAAAAGATGCTAAGCATCTCGTGCTAGCTCCCTCATATTACGACGTATTTCATCTCTCGTTCATTGCATATTCTACGCATATCAATATTATTTATAGATATATAGCTATTTAATATTTATATCCATATTTATCATAGTTCATTTGTAGTATTTGCTGGTTATTCAGATTTGTCCGAATTTTTTATAATTCCATTTACTATCACTCAAATTCCTTACTTAACCATCATTAATAAATGCAAATCTACACCTTTATATTTAATATCAGAATTTCGACTGTTTACCATAATTTGTTTCGGAGAGGCTGGCTTATTCTCTTTTGTTCCAGCATTTTGCAGCTGGGTGTACTTGTGTTTTCCCAATTGATCAACAAATTAATTTGCGCACGCCAATTGTGTTAAAACATCAAAACACCTCCTTTTGTTTTTATGATATTTTTCTTTAATTAGCCCACATAATTATATGAAATAAATAAATAACTGTTGATTATGAGCTTTCATACCATTGAGTATTCAGCTGGTATGGTTTCACCTAGTTCTAACAACCAATTAGCGCTAGGAAATGTGCAAAGTGGAGCCGCCGCGTCGCATGGGATTTTTACGTATGATGGGGGCATTCCAATGCTATTTTTCGTCCCGTTCAACGACCCAAATAGATATGAGTACAAGCAGAAGATAATTAGTCATGGGGGGATTATTACGGATACCGAGCCTAATGAGTCTACTGGTAATAGAATTATATTGCTAAGCTCATTCAATATAAGGGGACAATTGTGCTTCAAGTTGAGTTTTATTGACGACTCGATTAAGAATAATGGGGTTTGTGATTTGAGTAACTATAAATACCAGATTCCAGAGGTTTATGATCCATCTAGTATTTCTGGTCAAAATAAGATTATCAAGATCAATTCAGAAGGAGACGGGGTAGACCAGAATGACGCAGCTGCGTTTTCTAACGTGCTTAGTAGAAACGTTAGACCACCGCCAATGAGAACGTCGCGCCGGTTCACTGACTTGAAGGACGAATATATTTTGAAACAAGTTAGATTGAACCCAAGGTTAAGAAACAGTCATAAGTTTTTTGACGGTTTAGCGAATCATGACGTTTTGAAAGGTCACACAGGTAATTCAATTAGAAGTAGATATAGAAATCACTTGGAATCTAGGTTGGCCTATGTGTATAAGACCGATGAAGATGGTGTATTGATTAAGTCTGCTGATGGGAAGAACATTAGGGAAAGTCTTGAGAATTTACCTAAGACTTTGAAGAATAGGTTTACCGCATTAGAAGATTTCAACTTGTGTACTGAGCTAATTGAGTATAGTAGACAAAAATACTTGGAAGATTTGGAGTCTGGTGCTGTTGATAAGGACGAAGATGGTAAACCAAAACCTTTTGATTTATATCAAGAGTTCACAGCCCCAGTATCATTCTTCGCGATGATGGCTAAGAATTATCCAAGTCACTCGTACCATTCATGGAGAGATAGGTACAGAAAATTTGTTCGCCAATATGGCGCTCAGAAATATATTGATGACTATAATAGATCAATTCAAAATGGTGAAACACCCGAGCAAATGAAAAATTTCACTGGGAAAAAGGCCGGACTTACCAGAGGATTCAAAGAATTGATTGGGTCTAGCTACAATGATAATTACAGAGCACTACCATCCAACGAAAATGCGGGGGATGATAGAGCAATAGACGAAAAAATAAAGCAGATTAGATCCTCAGATTACGCAAATACTGTTGGGAATGTTGGTGAACATGAAATCCAAGAAGGAGAAGGGGAATCAAATAATGATATTGAGCAGGTAATTGAATCACCATCTCAAGCCGAATCTCAACCGCAAGGTCAAGGTGGATCTCTCCTTGACTCTCAATCTACCTCACAGATGTGGTCGGATTTCGATATTAAATACCTTCCTGAAGGTATTACTCTTGAAAACCTATTAAATAAGAACTTTTTTAAAATTTCACCTAATGAGATAAGTACGAGAGTGGAATCAATATTAAATGATATTGAGCTTGCGGCTCCAGCCTTGTTACTTAAATCATTCAATGAGATAGGTATCAATGATGTTTTTACCGCTCATTTAATTATGGCTTGTACTGGAGATATTGTAAACATGCAAGTATTTATTGATAAATTTTTAAATTTGATTCCGCATTTACTGGAAGATAAACTTTATGATGGATTACAAATTGAGGACACTGATGGTATATGGACTAGTAAGTTAGACAATTATTTACTCAGTGGTTCAAAACAGGATATGAAGAAATTACAAGCAATTCAAAGTCCGCAATCCATGGAGGCCAGAAGACAGTTTCTTGAAAAATTTTCCTAATTTTGGCTCAACGTTATTTTTTTTGCGTATGAGCAAAGTGTATAGTAATAGGCTTATATATTAGTGTACTATAATGTATAATATTGTTAAATGGCTCGTGCCTGTTTTATTACAATACTCATTGACACATCAAGAATACCAGCCCAGTATAATTGCTACAAAATGGATAGTAAATAATATTTATTACTTGGGATATCAAAACAAGAAACAATAAAATAATAAAAATAAAAGTAGAGTAGAACTCACATATAACTCGAAATAAACCAGAAATTTTTACCGACTACCCCGAATAACTTAGGAAGAGTAAATACCCCAGTACTTTTCGGCATTGTATGCACCATCAGCCTTCCATAAATCGTTGAAAGCAGTGAATAAAGTGACGGCATCACCACAAGAATCCTTGATAGAGTCAACAGCAGATTTTTGGTTAGCAGAAGAACAGTGAGCAACACCATTGCTGTCACCCTTTGATGGCCAGCCGGTTTCAGTGATGAAAACATCCTTCTTACCACCACAAGCGGTAGCAACTCTTTGGATTTGTTGTAAAACCCATGTACCAGCTTGGTCAGCAGAGACGTGACCATCGAAGAAAGCGTGAGCATTGACGGCAATGTAATCAGAGTGGTCACATAAGTCTGGGTTGTTAATAACAGCAATGAAAGTGTCAACAGAAACAACCTTACCACTGTAACCAGCGCTCTTTAAAGCAGCCTTACCGGACTTAACGTATTTACCAATTTGGGAAGCAGTAGCTTCACCGTTGTTGACTAATTCGTTACCGATGGAAACAGTGTCAATGTCATCCCAAGATCCACTGGACTTGACAGCAGAAGCTAAGCTTTCGACACCAGATTCAATGTTGTTGACATCAAAAATACCAGCGAAAACCTTTTGGGAAGAAGTCTTGGCGGATAAGACTTGAGAAACTTGGTCACAGTCAACACCGTACAATCTGATGATGTCAAAACCGGAAAGTTGGGAGATTTCCTTTTGGATTTGAGAAGATGACTTACAGCCACCATCGTCGGAGTAAGGAGAGTAAGTGATACCCTTGGCACCACCCTTACCGACACCGGAAGAGGTAGAATCAGAACCGCTGCTGGTAGAAGAAGCATCGGTGGATTCAGAAGCAGAACCACTGGTGGTTTGGGTTTCAAAAGTGGATGGGTTGCTGAAACTGCTTGGTCTGTATTGAGCAGCATCAGTAGCAGAAGTCACATCAACAGCAGAAGTGCTAACTTCAACTGGTTCGGTGTAAGTGTTGGCACCAACTGTGACCTTAACGACACTGGTTTGGGTGACAACCTTAACATCCTTTTTTTCCATCTTGTGTTCATGGTGTTGATGTTGTTGTAATGGTTGGGCTAAAACGGCACCAACTAAAGCAGCGCTAACGAAAGACTTAAATAACATAATGAATGGTCAATTTGTTGAATATATCTAGGTATTATCTAGGGATATAAAGATAATAAGGAATGACTGTAGAAATACCTAATTAATATGAAGAACAAGTTAAATGAACGAACTAAACTAAAGGGATTTTGAGTTGTTTATAAAACGTGAAACCCGACGACAAAGAAAATTTTCGCATCTGAAAATCGGTTGATTTTGTGTTTCGTTTATTTTTCATATTGATTAGGAAGGCCAACCACGAATCTCGAATCGGAAGAAGCCACTAAAATAGGGAGCGCATTGTTTGGAATTGAATAGTGCATTGTTTCTCGCAGGACGAAGAATGCTATTATACTACCTATAACAGAATGTACGTCTTCTAACAGAGCAAGAGTAATATAAAGGACAAGGGGTGGGTGTATATTGACCTGACAAGCTATTGTCATAGCAGTTGAACGACCTATACGGAAGAGAAGTAAATAAATAGACATTAGGGGTGTAGGGATGGTTGAGCGAACGATGAGAAGTAGTAGGTACAGTTATCGTTACAGGTTGAGATGTTTGAGACAGTACGAGACCAACAGGAAACATCAGTAGACTACCAGGAGGCCCATTTTGATGTATTACATTATGATTACATGTGCATTTGGCGGCGCTCAGGGTAGATCTAGGCTATTTAGTGTTAAATCAAATGCCGTTTGCGATCGAATGCAAAATATATCCATCAACGCTGGACCACGGGCAGACCATAAGTCGGTAATACCAAGTTAGCAACACAAGGAACCCCCGTTCGTATCTATAGCCATTTCTGGAATGTACATGTCCCTATTGGTGGGATTCAACGGTCAAGAATCTGACCATTTAACAAATCCATCTTTTAGGTTTGAACCCACTTTAGCTATTGGCTTTATGTATCTTGGTTATTTATTATTTGTGCGTTTCGGTATATGTAATACAAAGTTTTTCCTAATCGGCCAGATTGGCAACCGGATTTGGTGTTAGATCGTAAATAGGCACTATGACCGGTAGTGCCGAGGGGGCGAGAACGATCGTAGCGGAATATTAGGAGCTAATCAGCGTGAATCTGACGTCACCCATATTTGGTATGGGTGTATGAGTGTTACAATTTTTTTTAAGTGTCGGGCCATTATTACCACACTGGTGTTATTACGCACTTGAACTGCATCGGCTTGGCGCAAGTGAGGTTAGGACCGCGCGCGAGTGCGCCCCCCAGTACGCCCCCCAGTGCATCCGTAGCGAGTTGGTATGGCGGTATGGTTGCCCTGCGATCTGCGCGCTAAAGGAGTCAGAGGAGGCGTGGGTGTATGGATTTAGCGACTATGATGGCGGCAAGGCACTAAGAGACGCGAATCCAACGAGGCTGCGAAGAGGCTGCGAAACAAAACGACGATGTGTCGACTGGTTAATACCTCCGCCAACTGGGTGTTGAACCATGAGACTACAAACATAATGTTGCAGGTCTGTAACAAGGTCAATGAAGTGGGTTTTGTGTGCGACAAGTGGGACAATTGCACCAGCCATGAATGACAGGGATGTGAATGGATTATATGAAACATATCGGGGTGGATTGATAAGTCGTCTGACAACATCTATGTGATACTTCTCTATACTTCGCTAACCATATAAAATCCCGCTAAATGCGAGAGGTAATGGGAAGGCCACAAACACTACCAAATGGACTTGTTGGTGCACTGATGCACCCTATAACTTTCCATACACCAGATCACTTATAGTTGCTAATCACGAGGACATCATCAGTAATTGACCCGATATATGATGACAGATCGTGTAAGCCGTCATATCTATATAGTGATCTAGATATATAGATAGTTGTATTAGTATTCTTTAGTACAGGTGATTTTATAGTATTATATTTATCACTTTTATTTAGAGCAATTGGTTGTACTTTAGGTTTATTATAACCCTACGAGATTCAGTATCCTTATATTTACGATTAAAAAGAGGGTGCAATTTTTTTTAGTTTATCTAATACACTTATAAGATCTAATATCAATTGAAAAGTGGCGGTTGACAAATCAGTGGATTCTGGTTCAAAAAGAAGTTTTTCAAACATGCTTAGCGAATCTCCTAGTGACAAGGAAAATATGCTAACAGAAATCGATCCTGGTAAAAAACAGTTTGCAGGCGATCATGAGGTGATTGAGATTGAAGATGATCCGATGGAAGTAGACTTGGATGACGGCGATGACGATGACGATGAAGAAGACGATGACGAAGACGACGAAGTTGTGATTGTGGATAGTCCGACGAGTCTCAAGCAACCGGCAACACAACTTCCTGGGGCAAATCAGTTCAAGGAGTTAGCAGACCGATTGATGAAACCATTGCCTGATTATCCAGTGAAGGAGCAGACATACAATGTTTGGGAAATCAAGGATTGGACTGCGTTAAAAGACGATAAAATTAGAGGCCCCAAGTTCACATGTGGAGGCTTTGAATGGAACATCTTGTTATTCCCCAGAGGTAACAATAATAACCAATTGTCGCTCTATATAGAGCCACATCCAATTACTCTTCCAGGGGAAGAGAAAAAGCAATGGCATGTGTGTGCCAAGTTCGGATTAGACTTGTGGAACCCAAACGACCCAACAGCACATTATTCTAGTGGTTCATACCATAGATTCAACGAAAACGAAACCGATTGGGGGTTCTCGTCGTTGATTGATATAAGACAATTGAAGTCCGTGTTGAAGGATCACAAGCGCCCTATCTTGGAAAACAACCAGATCAATATTACTGCTTATATCAAGGTCATCGACGATTCATCAACTGGGGTATTGTGGAGTACGTTTGCTGACTATGATTCGAAGAAGAGCACCGGATATGTGGGTTTGAATAACCAGGGAGCTACCTGCTATTTGAATTCTTTATTACAATCTTATTTCACAACTAAAATTTTCCGGAAATTGGTGTACCAAATTCCGATCGACTTGAATAAGAATTTGAACTCCGTTGCATTCTCATTACAGAAAATATTTTATCTTTTGCTGAATTCCAAGGAGCCCGTTGGAACTTTGGAATTGACGAAATCGTTTGGTTGGGATTCTTCTGATGCATTTACTCAGCATGATGTTCAAGAATTGAATCGTATTTTGATGGATAAATTGGAAACAGCAATGAAATCAACCTCTAAGGAGAATTGCCTAAATGATATATTTGTGGGTAAGATGAAATCGTATATCAAATGCTGTAATGTTCCTTACGAATCTTCTCGAGTTGAGGACTTCTGGGATATTCAATTAAATGTTAAAGGTTTCAAAAACTTACTGCAGGCCTTCAAGAATTACATTGAAATTGAAATGTTAGAAGGTGAAAATAAATATCAAGCGGGTGATGAACATGGTTATCAGGATGCTAAAAAAGGTGTAGTTTTCGAATCATTCCCACCTGTTCTTCATTTACAATTGAAAAGATTCGAATATGACTTTATGGTAGATGACCTAGTTAAAATTGATGATTTCTACGAGTTTCCCGACTCAATTGACTTGAAGCCGTACCTTGATGAAGATTTGCCTACTGAAGTCAAAAATGAAAACTGGACTTATAAACTACATGGAGTTTTGGTTCACCAGGGTAGCATTTCAAATGGCCATTATTATGCTATGATCAAGCCATACGCCAAAAAGGATACTTGGTTAAGGTTTGATGATGATAAGGTTTGGAAAGTTACACCTTACCAAGTGTTCCAGGAAAATTTTGGTGCCAAAGAATTATCGCCTCAAGAATTTGCTAAGCTCCCAAGAGTCGATCAAAACGAAAATTTGATTAGAAGAGCAACTTCTGCTTATATGTTGGTCTACTACCGTGAATCTGAATTGGATAGTATTTTGCCTGATGATGAAGAATCGATTAACAAGGTTATACCTAGTTCAATATCAAATCAAATAGAAAATGAATTGAAAGAAATGGAAAGTATTGAAAAAGCTAAACAAGAGGCGTTATATTATTTGAATGTTAAGTTTGTTACTCTGCATAATTTCAATAACTTTAATGGTTTTGATTTGTATCCTGATCCTACTATTCAAAAACTATATGATGAATCGTTGGTGGATGAAAGTACAGTACCAATTAGCTTAAAAGTTAAAAAGGATGATAGCTTTTTAACCTTATACAAATTGATCGGATCTCAATTGGGTTACATTAGTGATGATAAAGATATTCAAATCGAAGACGTTCAAGATCTACCATTTAGATTGATTTTGATCAACCATCGTAATAATCACACTAATAGAACAGATGCGCCTGTTCCAGATGACTTAATGGATGCCACGATTAATTCGATATATTTAGAATGCTTTAATAGAAAGTACGATGAAATGGTATTTTACGTGGAGGAGCTAAACAAGGATTTGAAAAATATTAACAAATTGACTGAAGTTGAATCTAACCCACCTGAAAACTTCTCGTTTAATAAAATCTTCAAAAATATCGATGCAGTTAAGGACATGAATTCCGATCAATTTAAATTTGATGACATTTCGGACCAATCATCGTATAAGACGATTTTCTTAAAATATTTTGACCCTATCTCAAATAATATCAAAGGCTTAACGCATATTACGGTTGTCAAGGACGATGTTATTGACTCGTTGACTAAACCTGTCAATAAATTGTTGGGGTTCCCGGAAACAACAGCGTTGAATTTTTATGAAGAGTTATCGCCATTGAAAATTGACAGCATTGATCCAGCTGTTACTTTTGAGAAGCAAGAATTAAGCAATGGGGATATAATATGTATTGAAGTCTGTGACGTAGAAAATATCCCTAAAGGAGGTAAACATGCCAACGTTAAGGAATATTATAAATTTCTTTTTACTAGGTTGCATATTCAAGTTAAACCTTTCAAAGCTGATGAAGAAGAAGAAGATAGTGATTTTGTTGCCGATGAAAATAACGATGAAAATAACGATAGCTCTGTGATTGATTCAAATAACAAGGGATTAACGAAGTCAGATAAACAAAATACTTCCTTTGACCTTTGGATTTCAACTCAATACAGTTACAGTGAATTAGCCAAGGAATTAGCCAATAAGTTAGGAAACCATATTGATCCAGAGTACTTGAGGATTTTTATTGTGAATTATCAAGGTGTGAGATATCCTTTAAAGACTTCTAATCATTTATCACAATTCTTCGCAAAGCTGGTACCAGTTTCACAAATAACTACATTCGAGTACGAAGTTTTGAATATTACTTTAAAAGAATATGAGAATAAGAAATCCATTAAGATTTATTGGTTAAATAATATTATTCAAAGTCAATTATTCGATTTCTTAATTCCTAAGGATGGTACCATTTTCGATTTAATGAATAAGTTATTAAATAAGGTTAATGTGCCAGAAAATCAGTTGAACAATATCTTGGTGTGGGCGGGAAACGATCATAAATATACTGAATTGATTAAATTTGAAAGATCTATTGATTCCGTTAATGATAGCTTTGAATTATATGCTGGAATATTTCCAATTGAAGTCGAAATATTGGTTAACTATGATATGATTAAAAGTTTCAATGATGAGCCAATTGATATAGTTGATATTGAAGATGAAGAAACTAAGCAAGAACTTGTAATAGCAAGAAACTTCTCCAAAAATTTGAATATGATTCCTGTGTTTCATTTTTATAAAAACAGTAATTATCATCATGGTATACCATTTGTTTTCCCGGTTTATCCAAATGAAAAATTCAGCGATACAAAGAAAAGACTTCGTAAGAAATTGGGCTTAGGGTTGCAGGCATTTGAAAAGGTTAAGTTCGCTCTAGCTGATTCCAATGACAAGGGTTGTTATATTGAACAGGGAAATCACGATTTAGTATTATACGACGAAATTGGTAAATATGAAAATTCTGTTTCCTTGGCTATAGACCACCCTGATAGATCTCCTCGTCGGATTTCTCAATTTGACAAAGGTATTTCAATTAAGTGAAGTGATAGAAAAATAGTGTATTCGTCGTATATAATGTGGCAAGTAGTATATATAGTTTATTAGTTTCAAAACCAATTCTATTATTTGTGATGTTTTTCATATTCTTGCTTTCGAATATCTGTTGAACTGAGTTTTCCAAGCCAATTGTTTTGTTCGTTGCTATTCTGATCACCAATCACATTTATTACTATTACATCTAGCTCAGAGTATCCCTTCCCTCTCCTAGTTTTATTCACAAAATCACCACCTTTTGATGATTCTTCACTCACGGCTAACGAGTTAATATCCTTAATATAACCGGTAGGGCCACAAACGTCATTGATTTGAAAAATTTCAAACTTGATACCGTGATTCAAGACCTTTTGTAAATACCCAGCTACTCGTAATTGTCTTGTTTCATAAATTTCTAACGATTCGGAGTATTTCTTGTTCAACAATAATTTAGGGCCCGTTATTCCAATAATAACAGTCTTACTGGTTAAAAACACAGCTAACGATAATAAGATCTTATGACCATCATGCAAATGATCAAAAGTTCCACCTACTGCTGTAACGGGATATTCTTGGTATTTCCTACATTTACCCCCCGTAGCTGCATGATTTTTCTTTTCAAGCTTGGTTTTAATACCTTTAGTCTCTATCCTGGTTAATTCTTTTGGAATACCTGATTCTTCATCGCATACATAAAAAACCTTATTCAATTGTTCACATAAATAACGATAGCTTTCTTGATTAAATAGTACATCTATTTCAAACGAATAATCCCATCCTAGTTCAGATACTTTGCTTCGTAACCCATTATATATTTTTGATAGACAGAAATTTAAATCATCTGAATTATGGATATACTGACTTATTATGATATCAATTGTTGAAAGCGATGGATTTTCTCTACGTAAATCTTCAAATACAATATTGAAAAATCCTTCATAATTGTATTGAAGAGGATCTCTTATTAATATTGCCGGATGTTTAAGTGTCATAACGTGTAATAATTCAATGGGATAATTGTATCATGATCTTTATCATTATCTTATTTGCTTGAGAAATAAATATATACAGGTAAGGAGTTTGCAACTTTGATAAATATTCTATATACACTGAATCACCGGATTGATAAGTAACAGTTTGACGCATAGGAATTGAGCTTCTCTACGGCAGCTTCGTCGGTGGATTTTAATTGAAAAATCAGTTTCAACGATAGCATTAGTTTAACATCCTTTTTATCTAACGATTGCGAGTTCTTTAATGCTTCGTAGACAATTTCCATCGACTTTAAAATAGGTTCACTGAAAACAATATTCTCTCTTTTATCAATCAAGTGTCTGGGTCTGTAAAGTAATATACCAGATTTAATTATCAATTTATGGTAATTAAACTCATCTGAGGCTTCAAGATTAGACCAAGTGCTTCTATAAAGTCTTTCTATAATTCGATTATAACTTTCAACATAATCATTCGATGCAATAGACTTTTTTCTTTGTCCACGAGTTTCATGAATCATCAAGGAATCCATAAACTTTATAAGCGATGGTAAAATTATCTGCAATTGGGATCCAGTAATGGATTTTTTTGGCGTGTTATTGGGGATATTCTTTTCTCTTTTCTCAATAAATTGTATATTATAATTGGAGTCATTATAATGATGTAATTGCTTCATAAAAACTGAAAATATCGAGTCTATTGTCTTGGGTCTTGGAGACAATGTTTTACTAACGTTTGTGGAAGGGTTAACTAACGATGCAAATATCTCGGTGGCCAAACTACTGGGTGACTCTCTACTGAAATTCTTACTGATCTTAAAAATAAAATTTTCAATCAACATTATATCAATTGTTTCTGAATCATGTTCTGGAGTTAATTCAAGTTTCTTTTCAGGAGTTATATTAATGAAATCGTTAGCGGTATTTATATCGGTTAGATTATCATCCGATTTTGATTGCCTTGGAGATATAAACTGCGGGAAATAACTTTCAGATAAAACACCTTTTGATACCCCGATATCATTCACAACTTTCAAAATGTCAGTTCTGCTTACATATATTCCTCCCCATTTAGTTAAGCAGTACCAAACAGCTAAATAAAACTCTTTTAACTTTCCTAATTGTAATAACCCATCCAATGTTTGCATCAAAATAAATTTGTTGATCCCATTCTTTTTGTCCAAAGTAACTTTAGAAGACTCAGCTAATTTTTTACCAAATTTTCCCCTAGAATTTTTATATTGTTTATCCAATAAAATCAATCTAATATCTGCAGAAGTAGGACGAGTAAAGTCTACCAACCTCTTCTGTTTTCCACTGAATATAGCTTTTATTTTATTATGCGAAAGCAAAGGAGGTGGAAAAATTACCAACGGATTAATTTTTGAAGGTTCCAATGGGTCGGATGGTAATACAGACTGCGGTAATATATCAGTGACGTCAACTCCTTCATCAAGAAATTTGAGGTCTGATTTCTCGCAAGAATCAATAGCATTCTTCAAACGTGAATCCGTGCCAATTTGAAGTGTATCACTAGGTTTTAATAATACGTATTTATTATCATCGCTTACTTTTTCAACAAAGTGAAATAGAGACTGAACTTCAGGACACCAGATACTCAAATACTTCAAACCATTTTGAATATATTTATAATGGGAGCCTGAAGTACTATGAAGACCTGTACCTGCACTATTATTTATAAAACAGGATATAAAGACAGAAACGAAAGTCTGATCAATATCAACTAACTGACGTTTCATCTTCTGTCTATATCTAATGAGACAATCAGGATTCTCTTCCACTTCTTCCTTCGTTGGAGGTACAGGTGGAGTTGCAGCAATTATTATTTTTTCTAAGATCAAATCAGCTATTTGAATCAACTTTCCCTGTATCTGAAGTAAGTTTAAAGTCTTGACTTGTTTTGTTAAATTGTCATTATTAATAACTAATTCTGACTTGTATTGAGAGTGTTTTTTGATACCATTTAGAAAAATGGTAAATGTCTGACTGTCTGCAATTAATGTTGAGCTTGTACCAGTGCTGTCAGGAAGTAAAAGATCAAAAAAGGACCATGCATATTGTTGATCATTCTTAAAATTCTTCATTAATAAATTCAAGCATGCATTAAAGTGTGCAGTAGTACATTTTGATATATTTCTCTTGTCGATTTTATTTTCATTGGATTTAATCGCCTTACTACTTGAACTTTCTCTGAAGTTTTCAAATATTTGCATAGATTTCTCAGCCATCTCATCGGAAACTTTTCCCCATTCATGAGCCTTTGCAAGCCCGTCAAAAAATATAGTGTAGGTATGTTCAGTTATTGGGATACCCCATTTCTTACGATCTTGGAAATTCTTAAAGGCAGCCCTTGTGTCACCTCTCTCTAATAACCACTGGAGAACTGCATTCATGCCAACAACACCACTATTCGAACCTGCGAGTTTTGCCAAATAAACTGCTCTAGTAATTTCTTTATCACGTTCAAGCAATTTAAGGACATCTCTTGTCACTAAAAAAGGATCATTGAGTTGAACGCTGTTCGTGCCTAATAATTTCAAAACTAATTTTTCATCTATAGGCTTTCTATTAATTTTCTTGATATTCACTAAGGCTTTGAAGACGTCAAGCGATTTCTGAGAATCGATATTTAAATCGGATGGAGTTAACTTTTCAGTCGATATTATTTCTCCCGTGTCTGTTTGTAGAATATTGTCGTATTTTGATCTTAAGACCAATAGAGCTTTCTGCAGGGAGTATGATCCCAGATTTACCTTGTATGACAGTTTTTCTTTTATCTTAATAATACGTTTTTGGTACTGATCGGGAGAATATTTCAATATTTGGCCTGTCTCTAGAAAATAATTCAATTTAGTCTTAACATGAGATTTATACACTTTTGGATCTAATTCTTTATTAGTCGTCGTCTTTGCATTTATTAAAGTACAACTGAAGTATCTTAAAGCAGACACATTAGTTACCCTTGATCTATAAGCAGATCGTAGCCTTAACATTCGATTTCTAGTAGTTAGTAGTATTCGTCTTTCTTAAAAGTTTCAATTAGATGAATATTTTTGAGTGCGCTTTTTCAATGATCATCTCAAAATGAACTTATCAATACATAATTTTTCATATTCCAACACAAATAATCATCTTTAGGCATGTCAAATAATTCGGCTGAATATAAAGAACTACTTGATTTGAAATCAAGTGGAAAATATGTTCCTCCAGCGAAATTGAAAGCCCTACAAACAAAGATAAACAATTCATCAGAATCTACAACTGAAGAGTACCAAGTGTTACAATGGGAACAATTAAAACGATCTATTAACAGACAAGTGAATAAATGTAACGTATCAAATATACGTGAAATAGTGGTAGAGTTATTTAAGTTGAATTTACAAAGAGGAAAAGGTTTGTTGATACGATCAATAATGAAGGCACAATTAACTGACTTGATATTTACTCCAATATATGCATCCTTAATAGCAGTGTTAAATTCGAAAATCTCAGAAATAGGTGAATTGATCCTTCACCGTTTGTTATTACAATTTCGAAAAAATTATGTCAAGAACAAGAAGAATTGTATTTCATCTGCAATATTCATAGTTCATCTTATTAATCAGAGAGTTTGCAGCGAAATATTAATATTACAAATCCTTCAATTATTGCTTGAAAATCCTACAAACGATTCTATAGAAATATGTGTGGAAATAATGAATCAAGTTGGTAAGTACTTACAAGAAAACTCAGTAGCTGCAAACAACATGATATTTAATAGATTAAGAAGTATACTACACGAGAATGAAGATATAAATGATAGAAGTCAATTCCTAATTGAAAACCTATTTAAGACAAGAAAGAATGGATATTCCGAGTATCCAATAATTAGGAAGGAATTAGATTTAGTGGAATTTGATGATCAAGAAACGCATTTACTAGAATTAGATGCAAAGGTAAAATCGAATGACCAACTTAACATATTTCAATTTGATGAACAATACGATGAGAATGAGAAGTTGTACGATAATGTGAGAAAAGATATATTAGGTGACAGTGATGAAGAGGATGATGAAAGTGAAGCTGAAGAGAGTGAAGAAGACAACAAAGAAATTCTTGAAATCAAAGATATGACTGAGTCAAATTTACTCAATTACCAAAAAACTGTGTATTTAACAGTCATGTCAAGTATGTCGTCAGATGAGGCTGTTCACAAGTTAATAAAACTAAACTTCAAAAAATCTAATCAAGAAAAGTACAAGAATAACGAAATATTGGTGGACATGATTATAAAGTGTTGCTCTCAAGAGAAAACATACTCGAAGTACTATGGAGTAATTGGTGAAAAATTATGTTCTATGAATAAACATTGGCATACGATTTTTATTGATACATTTAAAAAGTATTACAGCACAATCCACCAGTTCGAAACGAACTCATTGCGGAATATAGGAAAATTCTTTGGCCATTTGTTTGCCCTGGACAAATTAGCAATAGAAAGAAGCTGGAATGTGATAAAATTAACTGAAGAAGAGACGAATTCTGCAAGCAGAATCTTCATCAAATTTATATTTCAGGAAATTATAGAAGAGATCGGAATAAAGGGCTTACAGGAAAGGCTTGATGACGATCTAATCAGACAAGAAACCAACGGTTTGTTTCCGAGACAAGGCGTCACATACAGGAATGCTGAAGATATTAGATTTTCTATCAACTTTTTTACGGCAATTGGCCTTGGAATATTGACCGAGGAGATGAGAGACGTTTTGAAAAACCTACCTCCAGAAGAGAGAGGACGAAGTCGCAGTGTTTCTGGAAGCTCCAGGAGTTCGAGCTACTCTAGAAGTCGAAGCTATTCTCGAAGTTCGGGCAGTTATAGTCTCTCCAGAAGTCGTTCCAGAAGTCACTCGGGAAGTCGCTCTAGAAGTCGCTCGAAAACTGGCTCGAGAGGTCGTACAATGTCCCGTGACAGAAGTAAAAGCTTCTCTAGAAGTAGGAGC